GGGGCAAAGGTATGAATTATGTATTGGAAATGTTTAGACCTTAAATTGAGTTTGCAGCTGAATATGTTGTGCTATCTACGTGAAATCTTATCTATGTTTACAATTTAAATTGCTCTTGTGTGCACCTATTGTCCTAACTGGCAAAGCTAATATTGAAAATTGGGAACGATGTGAAATGCGGCCTAGTGTCAAGAATTATTTGATAAGTCGTGGCCCCAAGTGCCTATGAAATAATATATGTGAAATGAATTGATTTATGAGAAGGGAACAATGCCTTGATGAGGCGGCATAGCCAATCGGGTCGAGATCGGACTCCGCTCAAGATAGCGATGGTATTGGAAAGGTATTGTGAATGAATTCCGGAAAAGAAGAAAAATGAGATTGTGATTGAAACATATGTCTCAATGAGGCAACCTAGCCGATCGGGTCGAGATCGGACCCCGTTCAAGATAGTGGGAGTATTGTGAACAACTAATGAATAGTGTGAAATTCCCCAAACTAAAAGCTATGGGAAAATGATGTGAAAGTTGTATGATTCTTTTATTTGATAATGTGGTGATCGTTTAAAGTTTTGAGTTATACTTGTGATTTCTTATTCTTGTATGAAAGTTCTTTCTAATTTGATGGTGTTTACTTATACATACTAGTGTTATTTGATGGCACTAACGTCCCTTTTGTCGGGGGCGCTATATTTTTTTAAATGAATGTAGGTGGCTCCATAGAGGATAGTGCCGGTCGTGTGTAGCGAAGCATCCCACTCCTCAAGATCTTGGTGAGCCCCTTCCTCCTTCAAGGGGCTATATTGTATATCTTTGTATTGTGGACTTTCACTTTTGAGGTATAGTCGGGGCCTTGTTGCCGGCGTTGTCAAACTCATTTTTTGTATCCTAGAGGCCCCGTTGACATATGTGTGGGTTATGTACGGGTGTTGGATGGGTCTACGAACTATGATGTAATTCAAATTCTCGTTTTGCTAAAGTGTAATTGTATGTAATCTTGGGAACCTAATTACGGAATAATGTTGTGATTTATAATAAACTAACCTTGTAGAATGCACTATCTTTCCTCGTCTAAACAAATGAATGAAAGCATGGTTTCCTTATTTGTATCGAGTTGGGTAGGAAGTGTTTGATAAGGCTTGCTCATTTGGGTTTACTCAATTGAGCGCCGGTTGCGCCTCCCGAAGTTGGGGCGTGACAGATTCATACCCAACATATATTCCCAACCTTTGGGGGGCCATCTTTGTGCATTGTGGTGGAGCAATTGGAACATATATCGCACAACCAAATGTTCTAAGATGGGAAATATTTGTCTCCTGGACCAAAAATCAATAGTAATGGGAAGACTTTATGATAACTTGTAGGCCTTATCCGCACAAGTGCTACTGCATGCAAAATAGCATGACCCTATATTGAAATGGGAAGTTTTGTTCTCATAAGCATTGGTCTAACAATTAATTAGAGGCATTTGATCAATGATTCCGCTAGATCATTTTGAATATGAATATGAGCATCCAGATGCTCAATTGTTATCCTAGTTGATATACAAAAATCATTAAAGTCCTGAGATGTAAACTCCCCAGCATTATTAAGACGAATTGTCTTAATTGCATAATCTGGATATTCTGCTCGTAACTTTATTATTTGAGCCAACAATATCACAAATGTTATATAGCGAGTTGATAATAAGCACACATGCGACCATCTTTTAGATGCATCTACCGAAATCATATGATATATGAATGGTCCACATGGGGGTGAATGTGCCCACATATATCACCTTGTATACATTCCAGAAATGCAGGGGATTCCATCCTAACTTTAATCATTGATGGTCTAATAACTAATTTGCCTGGAGAACATGTAACACAAGAGAAATCCTTAAATTGAAGAATCTTTTGGTTCTTCATTTAATGACCCTGTGAATTCTCAATTATTTTACGCATCACAGTAGAACCAAGATGGCCTAATCGATCATGCCAAATAATAAAATTATCTTGATTAGTAAACTTCTCATTTACTATGGCATGTGTTTCAATCCTGCTAATACTTGTGTAGTATAAGCCGAAGGAAAGAGCAGGTAACATTTCAAGCATCTATTTCTTACCAAACATTATTGTAGTAATATAAAGATATTCAATCTTTTAATCATTTGTAATCTCAACATGGTAGCCATTTTGGCGAATATCTTTGAAACTTAATAGGTTTCTTTGAGATTTACTTCAATATAGTGCTTCATCAATAGTCATATTTGTTCCTCCTGATAGTAATAAATTTGCTCTTCCAGAACCTTCAATTAATCTTGTCTACAAGATATTGTATTAACATTGACTTCTTTCATTACCAAATAAGAGAAATATCTCTTATCTCTTATATTAGTGTGTGTTGTAGCATTATCCAGAAAACATATATCATCTTTATTAATCTTGAGTTCAATTGAAAACTGGGGAATTTTCATGTTCTTCATAAAAAAAAGTCAAAAAATACTTCATAAGAAATATGAAAGATTAACAGAAAAAATAATTAAGAAATACATTAGAAATGTAGAAACTAGTAACACATGATGCATTATGAACATACACTCAAGAAAAATAAGCTAGTTGTAAACATAAATGAAAAATAATAACTTTTATTATAGCTTTACTTCCTAATAAGATGATTAGTTCTTTGGTCAATATCCTCAAAGAAGTTTCCAGCTTCTAAATGAGTAATATTTGCAAGGCCTCCAAAATCATCGTCTTTATATGCAAGATGTGCATCAGAATCACATTTGTTTGAGGGACCTGCTTCATCATCATTATTTTGAAAGGTCAAGTGTGCATCCATATTGTTTTCTTTCTTTCTTTCTGAGGGAGGTTTGATAAAGTTTGACAAAATAATTTGGTGTACGACAAATACGTGCCCAATGACCTTTCATACCACATCGATGACAAATATTAATTTTGCCTTTTGAAGGATTACTTTGAGAACCCCTTAGGGGTCGTTTGGTTGGAATACGATTTATACCAGTATAAGTTATATTGGGATAAGTTATGCTGAGATTAGTTATGCTGGGACTGTTGTTTATTCATTGTTTGGTATGTTGTATTAAGAATGACAATTGCATAATTTCTAAGAAGAAGGTATAAGTTATACCGATGCTAATTACCCCCACTTTTTATAAGGTATAAGTTATCCCGGTGTTAAAATTAACATTGGAATAACTTATACCTGGTTTGCTAACCAAATTTTTATATCACCCTTATACCTTCTTATACCTCATACCAAACGATCCCTTATTATTCTCCTATTTATTTTCACTATGATGACGATAATTGTTTCGTCCCATTTGACGTTCATGTCCACGACCACGGTAATTATTTTATTTTCTTTTAGACTTATCATGTGTTGCTACAACATTCACTTTGGGGAATGGAGCTGACCCAGTGGGACGTGCTTCATGATTTTTTATTAATAGAGTATTATTCCGCTTTGCCACAAGTAGGCATGTGAGTTAACTCATAATATTTCTTAATCCCTTTTTCACGGTATTGTTGTTGTAATACTACATTTGAAGCGTGAAAAATGGAAAATATTTTTTCTAATAAGTCCTCATCTGTAATAGTGTCTCTACATAATTTTAATAGAGAACTTACTTAAAGATAGCAGAATTATACTCACTTACGATTTTAAAGTCTTGCAACCTTAAATGTATCCACTCATACCGAGCTTTTGGTAATACCGTAAGTTTTAGGTGGTCATATTGATCCTTCAAATTAATCCATAATTCAAGTGGATCTTTACAGTTAAATATTTAGTTTTTAGTCATTCATGTAGATGATGACGAAGGAAAATCATGGCATTTGCTTTATCCTGATTTGATGTTTCATTTCCTGCTATAATAATATTCCCAAGACCTTTAGCGTCAAGGTGAATTTCAGCATCAAGGACTCATGATAAATAATTTTTTTCGGTAATGTCTAGTGCCACAAATTCAAGTTTTGACAAGTTTGACATATTGAAACTAATCACAAAAGCAAATGGGTTAGAATAAAAATAATTTTCAATGAAAATACATTTGTAAAAAAAAAAGAAAATAAAGACAACTAATTAAGAAGTTGATCATTTTAAACATGTAGTATAAAAAAAAGAGAGAGGTGTAAGTAACATATAATATATATGTCAAATAAACAAGAATTATGGAGTATATGAATAAACACAAAGAGATATATTCAGTATGATAAAAGAAAAGCAATTTACTATAAACGGGGTTTTGAGGAATAACCATATACGGTGATAAGAGTGAATGTATTCAAATATTGCTTTCCACCAATTGTAAAGTAATTTAAACTAGTATGTACAATTATTACTTTGTCACCTTGGTTATCACTATTTTATTTTTGTAAAATGTCCTGAAGATAAGTTTTGCTCTACGCAAGTCCACACATATTTATTCAATTGTTTTGGTTAGTTTAACGCACTTAAGATCTATATGTTATATTTTCTTTAACAACAAGCAAGGTAAGAGAACTTCAATACCATGATCAACTAAATTAAATGCTTAATAGTATATGAATTTGTTAATAAATAGCATACTGGTGCATATATGTTACCATAAACCAAATGAATATATAGTGATATAGTGATATACCTGAAGGAGAATCGAACACAACTAGGATGTAATTGTGAAAATGAAGGTGGAAATCATGCTGACAACGTTATGAAATAAAAGCAATATAACAAGAACTATGTAATAAGATTAATAATAAAAGAGAATGATAATAGTAGAAAGGAAGATTTCTTTCTTTTGTTTCAAAGTGTCTTCTTTAGTTTCATGAGTAAACCTATTTATAGATACAATTGCATTGATACATAACTTCCTAAATCTAATTAGGAGTCTCAAAATCAACATAAATCTAAACATGAAGACAAATCTAAGATATGGCAAGATTTCCAAATCTTAAGTTGGACATCCACCTTCTATGCACTTGGATTTATAACAACATGAAAACAAATCTAAGGTATGGCAAGATTTCCAAATCTCAAGTTAGATATCCACCTTATGTGTAAATGGATTTATAACATAGTAATATTTTATAAATTGATCAATTTTTGTAATAAGCTACTTATAAATAGATATAGCTGGTAGTTTTCCTACTATATTGATTTGCTGACCATCGATAAGAGTTCCACCAGTCATCAGAAAGCCGGAGAGCTGTTCCAGGGGATGAAATGCAAACCCAAATTCTACCACCAATGCTATCTTGCTTCTATGATAGTAAACACGAGGTGTGAGTTAGTTTCTCCTTATGATATTACCTTCGTGCCGAACAGTGAACTGCAAAATGTTCGTTTTTAGTGTCTCATGCATCTGAATGGAAAGTGTGTTGAAAACCAAATTGAACTCTCACGTAGAATCTCCTCAAAATACCTCGTTAAAGGCTGCATCTTTCCTTGATTTCCAATTAAAAGAGGATGTCATTCGCATTCTTCATGAAAGTATGAAGCTTAAAAGTTTCACCATCTTTGAGTCAACGGGCAACATGCAGGAGCTAGCTACTCAATTCTGATAAAAGAGCTTCAGATATGGAAGGGGTCACAACTTATGCCAGTTCTGGTGTGGTTGCTTTCCCAGCCGCTTCAACATATACATGCATCCAGCAGCGGAAAAGAGACCAAGTGCAGCAGCTGCTATCATGGTTAAATTTTCAATATTCAGGTAGCAACCTCTCTACAAAAGATTCAAGATTATCAGAAGTATCAAATATTCACCAAATCACCCGAAACACAAATTAGAAGTCTCGTGATAATGTTTGGCGTTTTGCATATACAGCCAATAAAACCAGATGCAAAAGTTCAATCCAGTGAAAACTCCCTTGTTCCTAGTCTACATGTACAATTGCACCTTATTCCTGTCTTCGTGGCAAATTTACATATATAGGATACACTAACTTGTTATCTATCTTTCAGAATAGGTTCATGCACCAATATTATTTTGGAACATAGAAAACAGGTGTTGCTGATGATTCAAATACACAACTGTGAGCGCAAATATATAAATGAGGTTGAAAAACAGAACTTCTCATGCATATTCTTCATGCTCTAGCATACATCTTGATTGTTTACTTCGGCGGGAAGGAAAAAGGAAAGAGAGGGCTGAAGAGAATAAGAGAAGATGGGTTGCTAGATCTTGGCTGCAGAGGATGTTGATAAATCGTGAGACCCCTAAATTTCTAAGCAACCTGCATCCAGGTGCTTACCATCCAAATGCGACGTTCTTTAACGGGTTTTAGAGCACACAAGATGTACCTGTAAAAAGTGTATATGGTTTCTCTTAATGTGATAGCAGATTAAAGGATGTATTTAGTACAGACCTGCACTAGAAAAAATAACACGAGAGCATTTGAAGGAGCAAGAGATAAACTCATCATTCCTCCGCGAAGTTCATTAGGCACGTACCTGCATAGTATAGGAAGAAAACAAACTTGAGCAAAAGAAAGACTCCACCAAATATATGAGATAATTAAGAAATCATGATTTATTTATAGTACAGTATTGTAAGTTACATGGTTCTCAATCTGGCAAATGAAGGCAAAACCAGTCCCATGCAAGCATGAAATATTGAGAATAGCATCACAAGAACTTTTATTTCCTGCAATAACATGGCAAATCATAAAATTGACTTAAAAAGCTTGATATCTGAACAGCATAAAAAAAGTACATGACTAAACTACCTGATAATCATAAGCTACGATGGACATGACGAATCCCATAACAACAAAAGCATACACTAAGCAGTCCTCTGTTCGAAGTAATAAAGGTCCATTGAAGAACCACGGAAATGCAGTGCTTCCTAGCATCTTAGCGCCGAGCAAACACGGATATATTAAACCTAACAGAACCTCTCTGCCATCTGCCTAGAAATATAACAAACTCTTAGTAGAGGAAATATCAATTCTTTCAGATAAAGGAACAAACATGGTGATACTGGAGCCAGAATGGAAATAAAATCCGATTTTTCATGATATCAGTAATGTTCCAAAGTTTGTGAGGGAGTGTAAAAGACATGTTTATAAATGTCAAATTACAGGAAAATGGATCCTAAAATAGCTAATTTACAAAATACATTGAGCATAGACTTGGTTATACACTAGATTGCATCCAGCTGTGCCATACACAACAAGTCAACAATGCCATCTCACCCTCGGCACAAAGTAATAAGAAGAATGCTTAAGGGCATATATGTCTTTAATAAAAAATAAATAAATTAGGACAATGGGCTAAAGCCCATAAGAACAGAAACGGGAAAACAAAAAGGGAAAAGGGGAAAAGTTGCTGCTAAGCAACAGAATCTAAAAACAAAGAAAGAAAGAAAAAAAAACGATAGAGGAGGAAACAAAGGAAAAGAAGAAGAAGAAAGAGGCTAGAGCCAAACCTTGAGAAAATTTAAAAACGCACTGGTTCTTACGGATAATACTCGAATTTCTCATCTGGGTTCCTTTCTTCTGGTAGTTATTTTTTATCTCAGTTCATATATTTGAAGGGTTTCACAAGGTATAAGAAATTAAATACCAATAAGAGTTATTCTGGGCAAATTATGCAATTGGAAGTTGGTCAATGTAACTGTAGCATGGGTAAATATAATTCGGCGAATTGATGATAAAATATAAAACTCGGAGGATTGGGTATTCTAAATTAGTGATGGATTTAGCCTAAATGAGGCAATTAACACAAGATCGATATTGATGTGATTATAGATTGATTGAAGAAAGTCGTACAGATCGCTCGAGGCGACGAGTTTGGTATTTCGACACGAGTACTGTGAGTAGTAATCTTACCACAATTTGTGCTTTCATAACCTGCATGGTTTATATATGATTTTGAAAATAAATGCATTACCGATGCTTTGAAATTGCATGTGGGACAAGTCTTTTAATTGATATGATACCGAACAGTTTACTTGAGATGTTTACCGATTAATCAAAATATTTTCACCATTACTAGATATGTTTTACCGTTACTTGAGATGTTACAGTTATTTGAAGTATTCTCACTGTTACTAGACATGTTTTACTGTTACTTGAGACATGATTACTGTTACCGAAATAAAATTACAAGATTTGATAAGGAATGATATGCCCTTTATTATTTTGAAAATGCTTTTGTATGAGTATTTACTATTTACAAGAAAGAGTATAAATGGGAGGAGACTTTGAAGGATCCCGTAGCTAACGGCGGGTTCGTTAGACATGGTGCACCTTGTATTTACAGATTACCGATTACCGATTACAGTTATAGCCCTCGCTAGTGGAAAGGTAGAACTAGCATACAGTTACAGTTTTCCCTCGAGTAGGGACCTACAGTTATACTTGACTCCTTTTACGAAGGGGTCCACACAGTGATACAGATTACATGATCATTTTCTGAAAACCTCCCAAATATATAGATTTGGTATGACACATTATTTACCAAGTTTATTACTGAATTATTTAATTGATTTTGTTACAGCAAACACATGATGGGACTAATTATTATTACCGTTTTAAAAAAGGGCATTTTATTTTGTAATTATTATACAAGCATGTTTTCTGACTTGTCCCCTATTAAAAAAAACTGGTTGTGGTTAAATATTATTACTCACTGAGCTAGCGATTCACCTCTAGCTATTATTTTTACAGAGACAGCAGTAGACGCAGGCAAGGATTCTGTTAATTAGAGTACACGAGTTGGCAGTTCTTGGTGAGCCCCGCATTTATTCGCGTGGGCAAAGATTGTTATTTATTTGTTATAGTCTCTTTCTTGAAACTCTTAGAGTTGCTCCATAGTCATTTTTATGAGTGTCGTAAGTATTCTTTTGTTGATATAGACTCGTGATTCGTATTAGACTTCCCTATCATATACTTGGAGATGAAATTAGTATTATTGTGTTGGAAATATTTCGTGAATGAGGATTATAGCTTGTTTGGTCGATATAGGTTGGTTGTGTTGTTGATTTCTAAGACAGGTTTATTTTTGGATAGTCCAAAAACAGGGGAAACTCTGTTCGATTTTCTGTAAAATACCGATGAGGCTTACTTAGGAGCACTAGCTCCTGAGCGCTGGTCACGGTCCAAAATTGGGTCATGACAGCTTTCCCTTGACAACCTTCATTCTGACTTACAATTCAAATCTGACCATCGACTGTGTTGTTTCACAAAATAAACTTCAGCTACAAACTTCAACAACTAATTTTAAAGAGTAAGGTTACAGAAGTCACACTTGTGTTTTCCATGTGTACTATCCAGAAACTCCATAAGATCCCTCTGAACAAGGATAGAGGGAGTAACACTGATCTTAAAAAAAGACGGAGGGAGAAATGTCATGCGTGGTTTCTTGAAATATTTCATTAGCACACCAATCCAAAAGAAGGAAAATAATTACATATTTAGGTAGATTAGAGAATTAGGTTTTCGTAAAGTTTGTTTCATCCATCCAAAGGCAGTGAAAATCATACCACAATGGTCGGAGCCCAAAGGATCCAAAAAACTGAAACGGAGAAGTGAACAGAAGCTTGTGCCCATGACAAAAGCCATATCCTTCTATCTGCCAACAATAAAAATTGTTCATTGTTTAGACTTATTTGTGCATTAAACAGAAAAAATTAAACCAAGCTGAATTCCAAAGACTATCATGCTGCATTCATCGTCCATATGATTTGTTTCATACATATGCATATTCACACAGTCAGGCCATACTATATGACGATCATCCAAAAAATTCTAGTTTCTTAAAGTGGATTAAATAACATAAGAAACAAAAGGTTAGATATGACCTAGATATTTTACTCTATGGACATACTTATCTCACTTAAATCCTTTGGTAATGTGAGCCCATTGAGTTCAATATGGAATGCATGAACAGTTGAACACAACAGGAAAAAGTCCATAACTTTCGTCGCTATCCAACCACCATTAGTGACTCCGCCCACATTATTGTATATGTACATGATAGGGAAAGGTCCTGAAGAGGTAAAAGAATTAAGAACAAGAGCAGAAAACTTGTACCACTGAGTATATATGTATGAAATTTAGAGTGATAATCCTTAAGACTAGTTGATTTTGGATCTTCCTTCCACCTCCGGCTAACGTGAATCAGAGCAATAAAAGCCAACACCACAACTGCACCGGAAGGAGAAAGCATGCTTCTCTTTCCATTACCACCAATTAACCAATTCCCAAGCACTTGGCTTCCAATGAAAGATGCAGATTCAGCAAAAGTCATTAACCAAAACATGTCATTCATCAAGTCTTGCCTCTGTCCCAGCTGCAAATAGTGACCGTAAAGAGACTATATCTTAGTAACTATATGAAACTAACTGACATAATTCCAATGTCATTGATAAAATCTGAACTTGCGCCTAAAGTTAACATGAACTTGGCAAATGATCAACTAAAAGCACTTGAGCTGCAACTGATAGCTAAGAAACCTATTCTCAAAAGAATATAGTTATATGGCTCCCTCCTTTTTCTCTTTGCTCCATTCATTTATGCCAAATAAAATATAAAAGGACAAAAAACCTCGAACTAGCAGGTGGCAAACATTTGTACTTCTCACATGCAGAGCAAATGACCCCCCTTTCCCTAAAGAAAGAAAAAGAAAAGAAGTTATTAAGACATACCTTATCATGCTCAACAACCATCCCTGTTTCAAAGTTGAAGAAAAAAATCATTGACGCAAGAGAGAGACAGATGCTAGCAAGCCAAACACTTGGATCTGCAGTTACCCTCTTCCATATGGCAATAAAAAGGTGCAGCGAGCAGAATAACAAGCAGACTTTTTTCTGGCCACTGCACGGGGAGATGTGTTAAATGGTAATTCCATCACAACTTGATAGCAATAATCAATTTAATAATAGTAAACATGCGCAGCACCATATACTTGAAAACACATCCTAGCTAAAGAAAGCACTCCATATTCATGCTAATGGCACAATACAGAAGAGTTGCAAATTCATAGTTCCCCAAGTATGATGTACTTATAGAAATTTCCCCAAATATGTAGTATAGATTTTCAAAAAATGAAAGAAGAGTAACGTCCTCGCTATGTTCCAACTTACGTGACGCTCTTTCCTTTTAGTCTGTCTCCAAACAAACGACATCTTTCTATATTTAGAAATAATTTGACTTTAAAATTTCTATTTTAACTTAATGTGATGCATGTGCCTTATTTTAGACCACAATTTTTTTTTAAAAAAAAAAACTTCTTTCTTCCTTAAACTATGTGTCTAGTCGAACTCCCTCATATAAATCGGAGGGGAGGTAATATATCATAAGAATTTGTTGTTCAGTTTTTTTAATTAATGGAAGTAGAGTTTTTTTCCCCTTAGGAATCAGAGAAACAGAAAGTAAATTTAGAAAAAATCAGTAGAAGTCTTACATCAAATCAGAGAGCATGCCTAGAAAAATACCACCAAAGAGAGCAGCTACATATCCAAGACAGAGAGAAACAATCATCTGCTCCCTACTAATGCCATTGTATGCCATCTCATATTCTCCAAATACTTCCCATAAGCCTTCCATAACTGTGAAAGTAGTTTGATATGAATCATAGCTATAACATATATATCGAGTAAATTGCACCGAGTACATAACACTTAAGAATACCTGAAGAAAGAGAAAATAGGAGGAGGAAACGTCTTTGGAAACGAATGAAAGAAGAGGGAGGGGCATGATCAAAGACCGAAGAACTTCTGCCGCCGCTATTGGATTTGATTGGCAAACAGAAGACGGACAAGCAGCATGATACGAATATGAATAAATACATTGTTGGATTTGGCTCCCACACATCCCTCTCAATTACTACGCCCATGGCTAGTTTGGGCGGGAGGGAAGAAAGTTCGCCCGATCTCAAAAAATTGGATTACTTGTGTGTTTCAGCTGCAGATAAAGAAATGAATAACAGATTCATCAGTTGATTCATCGCATTCAGATGAAAGTGAGATCGTTCCGGGGGACTGGGAACTCGCTTGCCAGCCTAAATTGGGCTGCTTTCTTGAAACCCAGAATTGTTTGCTTCTGGGCTCGAAAGAGAACCAGTGTTCACTAGAGAAGTTCAGAGGGGTGAAATTCAAAAATAGCCAGATTTAGAGGCGGTCATCCAAAAATAGCCACAGTTTCAAAAGTAATCAAAATTTAACCACTTCTTGTGTAAAGATAAATCTGAATAAAATACTATTCAAAATCCGAAAAAACACTCCAGTATAATATATTGGGGATCCAATATAATATACCGGTGCAGCATAATATACTGGAGATTGGAGCATCGGTGCTCCATCTCCAGTATATTATACTGGAACTTTCCGCGTGTTAGAGTTTCAGCATAATATGTTGGAAGTTCATACGCAGGTGCATCGATCTCCAGTATAATTTGCTGGAATTTTCGATGTTGTAGCAAAATAGTGACTATTTTTTAATGATTTTACAAACGCCGGCTATTTTTGAATAACCAATCCGAAAACTGGCTAGCCAGTTCAGAGTATTCAGACTATTGGACCAAAACAATGTCGGTCTGTAATGCTGTTTGATTAAAAAAAAAAAAGAGAGAGAATTTTGACCTTTTGCAAAAATTAAAAAGAAATTGGAAAATTCTTTTCAGGTGCTTTTTAAACAGACGTCACCTAAGTAGAGTGGCTACTTCACTTGACCAAGCCTATGTTCATTTTAAGGGGAGAGTTTGATTTGCACAACTCCCTTTTTAATAACGAGTAAGGAATTTAATATCCGATGTTTTGGTCTTGTGGATATGAGCACACTTTATGACGTATGGATCTTTTAATCCTACAGCAGACAAAAACTTGTGTCTTGATATATAAGTGACTTAATGGTAGAGGAGTGACTAAATTATTAACTGAATTTTGATGTGTCACGGACCCTCACGAATTTCTTGGTCATAAGACGGGGAAAAAAGATTTACAATTAGTTTTGGATTGCGGAAAGGTTGGAAGGGATGCTACAGTAAGCACCACATGCCGGTCTGCCGCTAAAAGAAAGAGATTTTATTAAACGAACAAGAAAAGTTGTGTGTCTTATTAGTCAAGCACCAAGTAACAAACAGTGCAACAGCCATTTTGACGTTTAAGGAAGCCATCTGGTTTTGCATTTCCCCTTTCCCTTTCCCTTTCCCTTTAAGAAGGCAATGTACTAGCTCATTAACACAGTTCCAGATCCAGTTTACTAACACAGTTCCTCCCATTTTATTTTATTTTTAATAAATAAAAGAGGCCAACAAAGTCTGTTCAATGGCACTATTTCCTGCCTATTGGCAAATCCATGTAAAATATGTTATATATCTATTGGTTTGGTGTAAACACCCGGTGCGGGTAAGTTTTAAAACAGAAAAATTTATCTACAATGTAATTTTTCGGCCAAGGGGTGTCGATTGAATGTGGCTCCGTCACTGGCAAGACATAAGTATGAGTAAACTGAATACAGCTAGCAAAAGGGATAGATTACTGAGGAAAGTATACATTTACACCCGGTGGCTAAGAAGAATCAACAACTTCCTTGGTGCTTTCAGTGCACTATTGCACTATTTTAACCTGCCTTTACATTACATGTATCCATGACCGAGGCACCATTGTAGCACTACTACTCAGTTCCTCGCAAAACGTCTATATACATACTACCTAGTTGAATACAGAGAAGAGAAGTTGACAAGACAATCATATGACCAGTTTAATTTACAGAACTGGAACATTACTATAAACTTTGCACGTCGACTCTCATGCAAATAACTGAAGTGACCACAATAAAATTCATTGGTCCCATTCATAGGTACCAGTCTGGAAAGCTGCATAGAGAAAATAGAAAAACTCTTTAATGGAGAGCTACCACCACAAGAATGCGACTTAACATGCTGCTCTTCAAGCATTTGCATTTCTATGATTCAATCCAAGCTATGAACCTTACCATATTATAATTCTGAAGAACAAAAGAGCAAGACAAAATGAAATCCAAACTAGAAATCAAAAGAAGAAAGACAAGAAGCTGAAGACATCAAATCAAGATGTCGAAAAAGCACATGATAGTCGACATGTTTCTGAACTGTGAAATTTTGTAGGCTAAGACATTGAGCCTGGTAACTAAACAAATATTCTCACAAATTTAATCACTTTTGAGTTGGGTTTGTGTGGAGCAAAGTTCTGAATTCCCATGCTCAATTAACTTAGGAGTCACACAGAAAACTCTTCATGATATAAAATTAAAGCAAGGACAACCATCTAGGAAAAAGAAAGTACATTGGCATCTGAATCCTTCTTCATGAGTCTGTTAAGTAATTTAACCAAAACAGCTTTGTTCTACAAGAAAAAGACAGTATGTAACTCAAATGGACATAATCACATAGCTTTACAACTTTTGACGGATTTATAAGCATATCAACTTGATGCAATTCAGAAAGAAAGTCTTCAATGTGGTTTATTTCATGGCAATAATTTGGCGAAAGGTACCTTTCATCTTAACCGAGAAACTTGTGCAGAAGTGCCGTCTATCCTGAGATGTTTCAATGTCTCGAGAAATCAGTTCATAGTTAACCTGCCACCAATTTATCAGCGAGAGAACAGAACTTTTAGAGGAAATTTGTTCAGTTTTAAGAAAGCAGTTAGTGCTACCCTCTACCAACTAATCACTGAGAAAATTTGTAAAACATCAGAAAGAGGGAGCTGTATATAAAACTGATTCAGTGATTCTTACATCAGTCTTATCTATCTTCCATTCTGCAACTCTATCTGAGAGAAGGGCTACATACTTTTCCATAGCCTTCTCCCTACTCATATCTCCTAGCCTGTGCCAAGAGCTCCTGAACAGCATATATAACAAACTGTTAAATTCAAAATATAACATACATAGCCTGTTGCCAAAGGGTCTGAAATCTGGAAATTTTCGACAAGGATACCTCAAGTTTTTCCTAATGAACTATGCGTATTATGCTGTTCGTTTAATGCTGCAGCATTGGATACCAAAATTTTGGGAATACAACATTTTAGGCCTCATGATTAACATTTCTATGCATGGTTTTGAGATCTATATATGCAAGTATAGGTTAAACTTTTGTTGTTCTTTACTCTGAAGATATTCAGACATTATGCAGTTTGTGTGGAATTAAACCGACTTTAATTTTGGATTTGAAGTTTCAGTTCCATAGTTCCAACTTTTCTTTTTCTTTGGTGCCAATTGGTCCTAGATATGATGCCCGAGGTCCCAATGTCTGATGATTTCCAGGAGATCAGACATAGCAAGAGGAGGTAAATAGGACCTGTGTTTACAAGAATACAATTGTGTATTTGGATCTTTTCAAACTTCAGAAATTGAACCCCCACAACTGAGTGGAGCTTCAGGGCATATCTGACAATTAGTTCCACAACTTAAAAACTATCTTATCCACTATGAACCTACTATTATTTATCACATTAAAGTAACTAAATTTACCTTAAAAAGTTACAAAACTACTTTTATTATATATATTTTTTACGGAAGCTGAGCCTAGTCCGTTTGTTTTGATCATTCTCCCATGCATCTATGATGAACTAAATGCTCAATTAACACATCCAAACTACTATTCCCTCCGTTTCAAGGTGATTTCTAAAAATAGTTGTCCCAAATTATTTATCGTTTTAGAAGTTCAAGACAAAATTAATTAGAATCATAGATAAGAAAAAAGTAGAGTACCATTTTGCACGAGCTGAAAGCTTGAACGGCATCGGCTGCGGTCCATAACACGGCCCCTCAGTGGCTATCTTGTGAAGCCCATAAAGCTTCATCTTCAACTCATTGTCAAGAACTTCATCATTCTTTTTGGAATCAACAAATACCACCGCTGCACCGAATTGCTTTTCCAAATCTGTTCTCTCTATACCTTCCCAATCTTCTAATAACCCCTTGTCATCTTCCTCCACTAATACATCTTGCTTTTCTAAATTTCCAGCTCCCTCCTTTGCCACCCCATCTTTCTCACTTGGGTTGTTCTCAATTTCTTGAAATTCAAGTTCCTCTGGAATTTCTTCAACATAATACAGGGACCCAATTTCAAATTCCCGAAATTTCGGGGCCACATAACAACTTTTGTCACTTACTTTCTCTTTCACCCCGTTGTCATGATCACCACCGACATTTTGTTTAACGTATGTCTCACCTTCTTCCTTTGACACTTCTTGTTCATTTTTCTTCATCTTTTCTTCTAATACTGCAGTTCCAAATATGCCAACATCCTCCATAGGATTTTCCTCGACAACTTTTTTGACCCTCAATTCTTTGCTTTTCTGATCATTCCTTCTTGCTAAGTCTTTGATATAGTAAGCACTTTTCTTACTAGCGTCATTTTTTGACCTAGACGGGACAGCTGTGACACTAGACTGAAGACTCCAACTATAGTATCTACCTTGCATGAAACTATGCGGATGCAGCTTGACAATTATGGCATAAAAAAGCAACGAGAGTCCTAAAGTGAAGAGGAGTTCTTGAAAGAAAACCATACCTATATTGCAACAAGAGTGGGTACAAAATACAAAATAAATGATGGAAAATTTGAAGGGATGAAAGAAAAGGGAAAGGGATTTTGCACAACAGAGCAAAGTATATTCTGGTTTTGTGGGAGTTAGAGTTGGGGTGTGGGGGTGNAAAAGGACAGTCTTGCTAACGATCATGAGGGGAGTAGAGACAAAGAAAACGACCTCGAGTCGACCATACTATGTACCTAAACATAGGTTTCCTACTACTAAGATTACCCAAGAATTTGTGCAATTCTCTGTTTTTAACCTTTCTAGTACCTTTGTTGCGTGCCATGTTGTAATCATTTTTGTACCTGGTTCAATGTACGTAGTTGAATAATTTTGATATATTGTACTGTTGAATAAAAGATAGGTGGCTAAATACATAGGCGGCCCTAAATTTGTACAATTATTTTCTTTAGACATTTGAATTCCGAGAATAGTTATTGAGGACATAAACTCCTTTAAATATGTACTTATTAAATACATTTTTCGGAGACAAAATGTGTATTTTCCACTTTCCTTGAACGCTTTAGTTACTCAAAAATGGTTAATCCATTTTTTTTTCAACTTTTTCTTCTCCTCTGATTGCTTGAAGCCATCGATTTTCATGGCTAGCGGCAAGTTCCCATGGCTGGCTTGCCACTCTTCTTCAAAGTAGAGTTTAAAATGAGAAATACTCTCTAATTTAAAGTAGTATAGGGTGTGGCTCTTTTAATTGGAGTGAATCTCAAAAGATTTATATAATTAGTTCTAATTATCTACGTAGTAGTTATATTTTCCCAATTTCATTAGTTATGCTAATCAATAATTTGAGCTTATTAGCTTTAAACATATCACGAATTTAATTGTTTCACTTGTGAAAATGATCTCGGTATTAAGTCAATATGAAACAGTAAATAAAATCAAGCAATTATTTTCTCTTTATAAAGAAAGTCGACTCATTGGACATTGTTGCTCAAAATGTATTTTCTTGTCTATTTTAGGAAAGCGACAACTCTATAAGATTCTAAATGCATTTAATATAATCTGGTTGTTTGATTAGTTGCAGATGCAAATAACTTCCCTAGTAGTTTCTTCGTTTGCAAATAATCTCAAATAAAAGAAATAAGCTCTGTATATTGTCCAATGTCCACCCAATAAGGTGAAATTTATTGCTTGCTAATAATGGCTCGAACTTATCCATAAAAAGCCAATTCATATCCTAGGCATCCTCATGGGAGGGGCGGGTTCAGACTGAATATCGATGAAATCTATAGAGCAAAAAAAAAAAAAAAAAAAAAAAAAAAAAAAAAAAAAAAAAAAATCAACGTGAAATTGATGGCGTCATAAAAATGATAAAGAAGGGTTCAAACTGAATATTAATGGAGCCTATATAGCATAAAAGCGGTTAGATATATGTTTTAATGATGGAAAAATAACTTACTTTTATTACAGGAAAACAATTTTAAAAAAGAAAGTCAGAAAGTAAAGTGGAAGAGTACGAATAAAGAAGAAATCAAGATTCTATCAAAGATCCAGAAGCAAGGATTAAGGAACCAATCATGTTATGATTACGAGCATCAAGGAGAACAAATATTTGATTCCAGTTATTTACGAAAGGTATAGCAATTTATCTGCATGGAAGATTTACGGAGGATAATCAATCACGTTTATCAAGGAAGCAACAGCTTGCTGAGAATAATCAATCACGCTGATCAAGGAAGCAACAGACAAAGAATAGAAAGCTACTCTTTTATTCTTGGAAGAAATCAATCTTGATTGATTCTAATTGATTCCAAGGATCAATTCTTTTGGGTTGCCCATCATCTAATGATTTGTCATACTGAGAAGACTTGGCATTCAAATTACATATATACAACAAGAGACACAATAGAAGAATATACTTTGATCGAACCACTATCAATCTTTTTATTCTACTCCAAACAAGCATTGTAGTCTATTCTAGATTTACTGTGTAACCAGGGAGAGAAGAAAGAGAGAAAAGAATCAATGGTGAGGCATTGTATCAGAAGCAAAAAAAAAATATCGTGAAGAAGATGTTGGTGTATAACAACACCAACATACTTGTATCAAAGATTTCAAATACCTGAAAGAGAACTCCCTTGTAACCCAAGGAGACTGGAAGTAGGTTTCACATTGAATTCGAATCAGAATAAAATATCGGGTGTCATTTACTTCCTACTATTTATTTTCTATACTTTGTTTATATCTATCTCGCATCAAGAATCCAATCGACTAGAAAGAAAATTAGTCAACCCCCCCCCCCCCC